CTCTTAGTGTCACTAGTTTTCACAAATCACATGATGTGCTAAGAGCAGATAAAAAACCCCCACTCTTTCTCAGGCTCATTCCTAAAATCTTTAACAATCATTTGACTTATTGTCACGATCGTACACCCCTCCTCTTAAGGACGCTCCAGCCCTTTCTTGTTCTGTATTCATTCCCTGCACCTGCCTCTGGTTCCTGCCCCCTGTCCTATAAAAGCCAGATGCTCGCTTTGTTCCGGGCTTTGCATTGGTTTCCGTATCAGGCGAGTCCGGGACCTGGAAGCGCCTGGTCCCGTCAAGGTTTTAAAGTTCCTGTTCCTGCCGGTTCCGACCCTGTTACAGTTTTAATTCTGTTTGTCTCGGATGGACTGCCCGGTTCTGGACTTATGCCTTCTCTCAGATTCCCCTTTGGACTCAGTTTTGGACAGTTTGCCTCGGCCACACCTCCCCCGAACACCAGCGCATTATGGACACGCCCCCTGTTTTCATTCCTGATCCTTGCATACCTTTTTCCCCGTGTTTTCCTCACTCTACCCCGGATTGTGTCGTCTGCACAAGGTCCGGAAAGAACGCTTTCATGATACTTATGTCTTTAACAAGCAATGACTCATGTACCCAGTGCAAATACAGATGTTTGTATATTTCCAATCTAAACCTTCTATTGCAGGAGACCACATCAAACGTCAGGAGCTTGTCACTGATAAACTGCTGCCTATCCTAACTGTGACTTTTCATCAACCTAGAGAGGATCAGACAGTATGAAAAAAGGTTCTAACATAAAAAGCTCTGCATAAATGTAGGGTCAGAAATTTTAGATCTGTTGATTGTTCTGGCTCTTATTTGAGTAAATTGTGTTTTGAACCAGGAGAACAATGTTCAATGATAAACAGTTAATTCACTGACTTTTCTCAAATGAAATGCTTGTTGCACAAAGGTACACGATTTTCTGAACATCATAAAATACAGTTCAAGTAGGTAGCTGCGTCAGCATGCATAACCTGCAAGGGAACACAATGTTTCGGCTGTGGAGCCTTCTTCTTCATACCCGAGGAAGGCTCCCCAGCTGAAATGTTTTGTTTCCTTTCTTCTCTTTTCAGCATGGAATAAACTTTTACTTTTTCCATAATGTAGAAACCAAGAGATTTGAGCCTGAAGTGTCCGTTCCTCAAGCCAAGCTTTATTGTATGCATACAAAGAACCAAAATAAGGACCATAATAGTTATACTGTCTATCCTAGTTCCAAGGGGATATGGCTCTACACAGCTTATATATATGTTTCTCTGCACCCTCCCCCTCCTGTCTTTGAGGTAGCTTTCTCAAAAAACTCCAAGACTCAGAAAGCACTTAAAAGATTCCTTTCCTATCAGGAGTTTAGTGTAAACATTCCCCATTAGGGAATTTAGTGCAGGGGGGGGGAGCATCTGTGCTCCAGCAAGCGTGAAGGTTAGAGTTCAGCATGTAAATTCAGCAGGAGTTCACAGCTCCTACCACTATATGGGTACAGAGTAACATGCAGATTCTGTTAGCAGACTCCATCAATCCCCCCTTGGAAAATAGGAACATAACTTCCATTTTCTACACAAATGCAAACTCTGCTGACTTTACTTCATACTTGTTTACTATCCTAACATTAGTATTGGAGGTGATGCGGTGACATAAAGCAGTGATTGTACTCTTAATACATGTGATTCTAACAATTATACATACAAACAACACTACTCCCAAAACCAAATATTGAACCATAGCTCCACCCCATTATACAGTGACCTTCATGATACTGTATGTCCTATTGTCCTATATGTTCAAGGCACCACAGGACGGCCCCCATGGGGAGCCCCCCTTGCACATATTTTGGTGCTGCAGTGTATACCCAGTAGGCGCTTTGGTTTGTCTTTTCAGCCATCAGATAAGACAGGGCCAAAAAGGTGTTAAATAGGTATAAATTGTTACAGTTTTTCCTTTAGCATGTTTACAAGCTTCAATCATTGCTTTCAACTTGGCTTGCTGTGCTGAGGCAGTGGGGGGTGTCTTTCCGGTCATTAACACATCAAATTCTGTCATAACCACCCAGCCTGTTCTCTGCTCTCCCTCATGCACCAGAGAGGACCCATCGGTAAACAGTATCAAACCTTCACGACCCCCCCCCTTTGGCTACAGCATCTAATGGTATAAAAGTGCCTACCTCCATGCTCCTGCGTCAGCACAGCTGCCCAGAACCCATTTTCCACACTTACATACAAAGGAATGGTTGATCCATCTGAGGAAACCCCAGTCTCAGCACCTGTAAAAGAGCTTGTTTCAACTCATTAAAGGTGGCTTCTGCTGCTGGAACCAAGGCACTCTTGTCCTTGGGCTGCACTCCTCCCTTAAGCAGATCTGTTTGTGCTCACTCTGAAAAAGAGTCCACCCAGGTCCTGTTACAATAACACAATTCTAGACACAATTGGGCCTTATCATAACTAGCTTTATGTCCCTTTTTAGCTAGAAACTCTAAAACCTGAAGCAGCTCAGACTTGTGGGTTTCCTCGTCAGGGGAAGCAATCAGAATATCATCGACACACTGAATTATCACAGAGTTCAGTTGAGGTAGTTCACGTAAGAGTCTCGGAGCCACGTGATACACTGTTCTGTATAAAGTAATTCCTTGTAAATGCTGCACAACATCCCAGCCCAATAGAACTGGGATGGAACCCACCCACATTCGGATGATAACTGCAAGTCTCTTCCTAAATCAATGTTACAATCTTGTACTCCACCACTCTATGTTGTGAATTAAGTGCCTCTATACTTGTGTATTTGATATAAGAGTATTTTTCTGAGTGGAAAGTCAGGAAACAAGGCCTCTCCCATCAACTACAGCCTGAACTTAAACTACAGTAAACTACAATACATGGCAGAGACATAGCTGCACTCCCTGAATTCAAGGAGTCCTATCAAGATTAGTGAAGAAGTGCACTGTAATTTCTCAAGTTCTTAATCATTTTGGAATTTAATTTCTTTTTCTGTGTTCTAGGGTGTGAGGATCTCAGACTGGTGGAACACGGTGACCGTTGTCATGGAAAAGTGGAGGTTTTTAAGAATGGGAAATGGGGGAGAGTTTGTAATGATGGCTGGACTCGTTCCAGGGATATCATTACATGTAATCAGCTCAACTGTGGAGATTATTCTTCTAGTCGCTTTGTGAGTGATCAACGTACCTTTGCCTTGTTTGGAGTTAAATGCACAGGAACAGAATCCTCTTTGCAAGACTGTAAATCTGACCCAGATGTTTCAAAGCCCTGCACTCAAGGGAGCACTGAAGTCACCTGCAATGGTAAGAAGATTCTCAGTTTTCTTTTCATAACAAATATAAAAACACCAAAGGACAGCTCTATTTTTATGACTCAGACCCACTGGTATAAGGTGCTTAGATGTTAGTTTAATATTATAGTGAATGAGTGAATCATATTATTTTTTTATTTCTAAATATTATAACAAATAAAATATATAATATAAATATTTTGTATATTTTATTTATTAAGGTACACAGGCGAAATGTAACTATATATTAATAAAGGTGATGGTTAAATGCTGTCGAGTCAGTATTGACTCACAGCAACCCTATGGACAGTTCCCCAGTCACCATCCACAGAGTTTTCAGGTCAAGATACAGAAGTAGATTGCCAGGCCTTTCTTCTGTGCAGATACTGCCAACACCATCCCCCCATACTGCTGCTGCCCAGTATGGATCATTAAAGAACCTTGTGCCCGACGTGGGACACGAACCCACTAACCTGAGATTAGGGGTCTCATGCCCTTACAACTGAGCTAGTCAGGGTCCTATTAATAAGTGTACTATATATCCAATTAACCATAATTTTATTATTAATCTGTAGCAATGAAAGTTGGACATAGAAGCATTTCTTAGAGGAATGGTATTCCTTTATTACCAATGCTTCAGAATTTCCAAGCATTGTGAAAAATTGCTGCAAATGGCACACTCACAAAAACAGTATATTACTGAGCGAACAAAAGAATAAACTGAATAAGCCAGAAAAAATACTATTTTATCACGAGCAATTGACAAAATACTTAACATAAATTAATTTACAAGACACTTTTTTCTGTATGACTTTCTGCACCACTGATTATTAACTCATTAGACATCAGATCTTCTGTTTCATCTACAGTATTTATATGTGCTTCTGCACATGGTCATGCTCAGGCTGGGATTGTCTCATGTCCTGCAGTTGTCAGGTCTCAATCATCTATAGATCAAGTGCAAACAAGGTCAGGACGCCTGTCAATCAGACCATCATTCTTTCAGTCTGGAAGCCAGTCGGGACCTCATTCTGTCTTAACAAGTTTTAAACCAATTTTATATCTTTCCTGAGCACTGCCACAGCAGACCTCCATTTATGTAAGATCTTCCATTGTCTTCTCTGACAAGATTATTATTTTTTTACCCAGTGGCATTTATTGTCATGCCCTCTGTAGCCAGAGGGCGCTCCTACTCTGTCCTGTCCCCAGTTTCCTGTGCTTTGCTGTCCTTCCGGTCCCTCTCTCTCTGGGGCTATATATTTCCGGGTCACTTATTCTGCCTCGCTCGGCATTGACGTTTGGATGTCCTGAGACCCGCCTAGCACCAGGTCGCCGCTCTGTCCGTGGCCTGAGGGCATTGGTTTCTATACGGCACTCCAGAACTCTTTGAAGTTCAACACAATTCTGCTCTCAGTCTAATCACTAAGTTCCCTATCTTCAACATTCTAAAAAAAAACATCAAACCATTATTGAACCAGATAATACGACTGAGAAATACACAAAAAAGTTTGCTTTATCATCACCATTCTATTTATACTTAAACCAGACTTTTGAAATTAAAAATCTGGATTTTAACTATCATCTCGCTCTAACGCACTGTACATGATATTCCAAAAACTAAGACAAATAAAAGGTGATCAGAAACAAATAACCTGAGTGAAAATGCAGAGTAAATTTTCATTAGGCAAAACAGCCCGGCTCTCTGGAGGGATGTGCTATGGAAGATTAGAGGTGAATCGAGGAGGCAGCTGGGGGTCAGTGTGCTCTCAGTCTGTGGACTCCAGAGACGCGGACGTGGTCTGTAGAGAACTGGGCTGTGGAGTCTCCAGGGCTGTGCTGGGAGGAGCCTCTTCAGGACAGGGGACTGGGCCCGTCTGGGCAGATGAGATCCAGTGTCGGGGTGATGAGGAGAAACTGGCCCACTGTCCAGTCCTGAAGAGAGAGCAGCACAACTGCACACATGCAGATGACGTCACCATTGTCTGTTCTGGTAAGAAACACAATTTTTAGCTTACAAATATGGACATAAATTGCCATCTTAAAGAATGTAGAGAAGTTTTAAAGGGTTTAGCACTGAAAGGAGCAAGCTGTTTCAAGGTTTACTTAAGATTTTCTTCATTTTTGAAGCACTTAATTACTGTGAAGAATTATGTGAACAAATCACCAATTTTGGTTAATTATTTGACTGAAATCTTGATCACATGAATATGAAGTCCTGCAAATAAAAAGTCTAATTACAATATGATTTTTTCACATGAATATGAAGACCTGCGAAGTATCGATTAATCCAGCATTATCTATGGGAGATAAATCTTCTGGTCTCTTATCCCACTCACTGCCCTATCTTGTGTCCAATGTCCTGTGTCCAGGCTACACTGACTTCAGGCTGGCCAGCGGTCCTGACCGGTGCTCTGGCAGAGTGGAGATGAAGTTGGGGGCTCAGTGGGGGACAGTCTGCGATCAGGGCTGGGACCTCCGGGACGCCACAGTCCTCTGTCAGCAGCTGAACTGCGGCTATGCTGAAGCAGTCCTGGGCCCGGCCAGATTCGGA